GGGGGGGGGGGGCCCCCCCCCCCCCCCCCCCGCCTACCGGCAAGGGGAAAGACCACCCCCTGCACTCACCAGCAGTGGGAAGCGGAACAACGCGGCTGGGAGCTAGCAGAGTGGAGTGCGCTGGGACCGGATTGCTCCGCTTTCCACCGCTGCCGGTGAGTGCGGGGTCGCTGGGGCAAGAGGCTGGGGGAGAGGGAGGTGGAATGGGGGCAGGCCAGGGGCAGAGCAAGGGGGAAGATTAAAGCAGGGCAACGGGAGTTGTCCCAGGCCCCACACCCCCCAAGGAACAGCCCTGCCCCTTGCAGTGGGCGCAGCCCGCGGGGGGGCCAGCCGGAGGATCAGGCTGGCCGCCACAGCTGGTGCTGCCGCGTATGCGGCACGCAGCTGCCTAGGGCACCATGAAATTTGTGGCAATTTGGTGCCCCAAATGTCACGATACCCTACCCAGCTGCACATTCTGCGTATGCCTAGGGAGGGCCCTGTCTCAGCCCCCTCACTGCCCCTCTGAAGTCAGAGGAAGCACTCCTGGTGAGGATGCGGTGTGCTGACAGGAGGGGCAATGCAGACATGAGCTATCACAGAATTACTAATATAGGTCAACTGAAGTTTGTAGTGTAGGCGTGATAAAGATTCGTTCTAAGTGACTTCCCAGTAAGCCTGCAGCACTGGTCCCAGTACAGACACCAGCACTACTGGGCCCAGTACTGGGGTCTATACTGGAACCGGTGTCCCCCGCACTGGTCCCTTGTTACGGGGGCCTGGAGGGCCAGGCAGCCTGAGCCTGTGGCTCCCAACACCCTGCTCGGCTGCAGCAGGGCCACCATCTGTAAGGCCGGGGCGGGGGAGACCCGCGTGGCAGGGGGTCCAACTGCAGGGCCCCAGGCTACTTCCTACCAGCGTCTGGGCGGAGCCCCGCTAGGCGACAGCGTCCCGGGCTTGGCCAATCAGGCGCCTCCGCGGCCGGGCAGAGCAGGACCCCCCGCACAGGGAGGTGAAAGCTGGCAGCGGCCGTGCGCGCACCGCGACAGAAGCGAGCAGGAAGCTCCACCCCATCCCCAGCCAGCGGAAGAGAGTCAGGCTCCCCCCTTGTCCCATCCCTCCAGGCTTGCCATTGGCTGCGGGCAAAAGGGGCGGGGCTATCTGGGCCAGGACAGAGACTATGTTTAATCTCTCATGTGCTGGCTGGTAGCGGCTCTGCTTCATCACACCCCTATGTCGCCGGTTCCAGGACCGATCCCAGTAAGATCCCACCATTGGTGGCAGTACAGACCCAGTACTGGTCCCACTACACCCCAGTAATGGTCCAAGTACAAACCCCAATAATGGTTCCAGTAGTGGTCCCAGGAAAACTCCAGCACTGGCCCCAGTAGAGTCCCCACTCCTAGTTCCAGTAAGTCCCCACTACTGGTTCCAGTATATACCCCAGTACTGGTCTCAGTACTGGTCCTAGTAAGACCCCCAGTACTTGTCCCACTACTGGAACCAGTATAGACCCTAATACTGCTCCCAGTAAAACCAGAACACTAGCCCCAGGACTGATCCCAATACAGACCCCAGTACTAGTCCCAAGTAGACACCCCAGAACTCATCCTAATACTTGTCCCAGTGAGACCATAGTACTGGTTCCTTTATAGACCCCATTACTGTTCCCAGTACTGATAGTAAGAGATCAGTACTGGTCCCAATAACACCATAGTACTGGTCCCAGAATATACCCCAGTACTGGTCCTAGTAAAACTCCATTACACTAATCCCCGTATAGATCCCAGCAGTGGTCCCAAGTACAGATCCCAGTACTGATCTCAGTACTGGTTCCAGTAAGACCATAGTACTGGTCCCATTATAGACCCCGTACATTTCCCAGTACTAGTCCCATTATAGAGCCTAGTACTGGTCCCAGTACAGACACCAGTACTGGTTGTAGTACTGGTCCCAGAAAGATCCCAGCACTGATCCCAGCAATACCCCCAATTACTTGTCACAATACTGGTCCCAGTATGACTCCAGTACTGGTCCAAGTGTAAAGCCCTGTACTGTTCCGAGTACTGGTCCCAGTAAGACCCCAGTACTGGTTCTAGTACTGGTCCCAGTATACACCCTGGTAGTGGTACAGTACTAGTCACAGAACTGGTCCAAGTAAGATCCCAATACTAGTCCCAGTATACACTCCAGTTCTGGTCTCAGTACAGGTCCCAGTATAGACCCAGTGCCAATCCCAGTATAGTTGGTAGTACTGGTTGCAGTAAGACCCCAGTACTGTTCCCAGTATAGACCCTAGTACTGGTGCCAGTATAGACCTCACTACTTGTCCCAGTACTGGTCCCAGTATAGAACTCAGTGCTGGTCACAGGATGAGTTCTGAGGGTCTTACTGGGACTAGTAAAGTAACCAGTATTGGGGTTTTAGTGGGACAACTACTGATCTCTATACTAGGACCATAACTGGGACCAGTTGTAGGGCCTATACTGGGAACCATATTGGATCTTACTGGGACCAGTATGGGGACCATTACTGAGGTCTTACTAAGACCAATACTGGGGTCAATACTGGGACAATTACTATGACTAGTTCTGGGGTCTATACTTGGACCAGCGCTATGACCAATACTAGAGTCTTACAGGGACCAGTACTGGGGTCTATATTGGGACCAGTACTAGGGTCTATACAGGCACCCTCCAGGCACTTTAGTATCTGAGCGTGGCAGGGACTATAGTTTAATAGAATTAAAGCTGCACCTTTAAAATAAATTACAAAAATCATTAAGAGCCCTAGGCGGGTCTGTATGGGGTCCCCCAGTTGCTGTGAATAAAGGAGGTGGGTATAGAGTGCCTGGTGTGGGGCTGGACTCATTGAGGTTGGGGGTCTCAGATGTAGGACCAGATTCTCTTTTTGGCTAACCCAGCAGAAGAGGCACAGAGTGGGTGTATCTAAGGTGGCATATGTGGAAGGAAGGCACAGCGGCACCTCATAAGAGGACACTGATCCATTCATCCAGAGATGCCCCAACATGGTGAGGATTTCTCTGAGGAAATCAGGGTACTTTTGATTTCGGGGGCTCACACTGGACGACAAACCTGCCCCCATCCCTTTCCTGAGGAGACTATTCAGAGGACTACATGGCAAATCTCCTGGGGGTTTCAGCAGAAGTTGTCTCCTTCCTTGGTCTTCGTGGAAAGGGACAATAGACCTCAAAGGCTGGTGCAAATGGCGCAGGTTTGCTTTAGATATAGGCTGGATGGATTCATGCTCCCAGAAAGCCCTGTATTCCCCTCATGTTGAAGTGCCATTGCTGCTTCTGTCTCTCACGATGGAGTGGGCAAACAGCACCACACTCAGTTTCTAAATATTTTATTATAAGCATTAAAATAGTGACAAGGAAACTGGAGAGAGCCAGGTAAGTTTGAGCAGCTAATAAACTGCGCCTCGTTTCTTGAGGTCAGGCTGGAGAGCTCGTAAAACTAGGCTGTTTAGAAACGAAGAGTCTGAAGGGAACCCAGTGCAAAGTACGTAGTCCCGAGCAGCACGGTGCTCACAGCAGAGCTACAACTGCAGGCTATGCTGACAGGGAAGGTGGCTAATGCAAACTTTGGTTCTCTCCTCAGAATCAGCTTATAACAGGGGTAGGCAACCTTTCAGAAGCAGTGTGCCGAGTCTTCATTTATTTACTTTAATGTAAGGTTTCGCGTGCCGGTAATACATTTTAACGTTTTTGAGAAGATCTCTCTCTATAAGTCTATATATTATATAACTAAACTATTGTTGTATGTAAAGTAAACAAGGTTTTCAAAATATTTAAAAAGCTTAATTTAAAATTAAATTAAAATGATGATCTTACGCCACCAGCCTGCTCAGCTCGCTGCCAGCCTGGTGTTCTGTTCACCTAGACCGGCAGCGGGCTGAGTGGGGCCTGACCTCTGAAGCCCCCCTCACTCCCAGAAGGGTGGGTGTGGGGGGCTTCTGAGGTCAGGGCAGAGGGCTGGGGGTGTGTGGAGGTGCAGGGCAGAAGGCTGGAGGTGTCAGGGGCTTCAGAGGTCAGGGCAGAGGGCTGGGGGTGTGTGGAGGTGCAGGGCAGAAGGCTGGAGGTGTCAGGGGCTTCAGAGGTCAGGGCAGAGGGCTGGAGGAGTGGGGGGGTGCAGGGCAGAAGGCTGGGGGTGGGGTGGGTCAGGGCAGAGGGCTGGGTGTTGGGGGGGGGAGGGCAGAAGGCTGGGGTGTGTGTGGAGGTGCTGGGCAGAAGGCTGGGTGTGGGGGAGGTTCAGGGCAGAGGGCTGGGGTGCTTGGCTCATGGGGGTGCTCCCAGCCCCCTGCCCTCTGCCCTGAGCGGCTCATGGCAGAGGGCTGGAAGGGATATGTCCTGTTCCACCCCCTGCCCCAAGGCCTGTCCCTACCTCTTCTCTGCCTCCTTTACCCAGGGCCGGCTTTAGCAAGGGGCTGCCGTGTGCCGACTGGAGCTCCGGCCGGGAGAGCAGGGCCGCAGGGCTTTTGCGGAGCAGCGAGCACGCTGCCACTCCTCCCTTTGCAAGGGCCAGCGCAGGGAAGGAGAGGCAGGAAAGCAGGCTGCACCACGGCTGGGGGAAGAAGCAGGGGAGGGTGGGAGCTTAGAAGCTGCAGGACAGAGCTTCTGCCTCCTGCCCCAGCAGTGGAGAGCGGTGGGCGGGGGGGCTGAGTGCGGCTGGGGGTCGGAACCGCGGCAGGCAGCCGCGTGCCATTCAAAATCGGCTCGTGTGCCGTGTTTGGCACGCGTGCCGTAGGTTGCCGACCCCTGGCTTATAACAAACCAATGAACCTTGGGGGAAAATGCTCCCCTCCCCAAGGCAAAGCCAAATAAAATATTCCTCAACCACGCATTGAATTTTTAAGGACCTAGAGCTGGTTTGGAGAGGCAAGCTTTGGGAGCCAAGAGCTACTTACATGAGCTGGCTCCATAGACAGCACAACTTTAGTTCCCCAAATGGACCAAGGCAGACACCAGTATAGTCCAAGTCTGAAGTATAACTTCACAGGCTGGTTCAGGGGAGGGATAGCTCAGTGGTTTGAGCATTGGCCTGCTAAACCCAGGGTTGTGAGTTCAATCCCTGAGAGGGCCATTTAGGGATCTGGGGAAAAAAATCAGTCTGGGGATTAGTCCTGCTTTGAGCAGGGAGTTGGAGTAGATGACCTCCTGAGGTCCCTTCCAACCCTGATAGTCTATGATTCTACACGTTGCTAGCCTGTCTCCCCAGGCCAGGAAGAGCTACCACCACACTGCCCTTCCTTCAAGCACAGTTCATTCTTCAAACAACTCACAAAGCAACACCCAACCCAAACAATTCCCCTGGCCAGAGCAGGATGTAGGGACCTGCAGAGAACCAGCCACAGAACTCAGCCTGCTTCCTACAGCTCCTCTTTCAGGCCTTTATAGGAATCACCTCACCCCTTCCCAGCTGCAGCTGCTAATCCCCTCTATCTGGCCCAGATAACTGTTCCGAAAGAGGCTCTGTCTCTGAACAGGGCTGGCTGGCCCCCGACCTGCTGTCCCTTACAGGGGCAGAGTACCCTCTGACAGATCGTAACAACTGTTTTGCTCTTCTCTCTCTGATCTTCCTTTTCCCTTGAAAAAGGGCATCACAATACCAGATTTATCCCTCCATTGACTCTGTAGAGCAAGGCCTGGGGTACATTTTCCTCTGCCTTTGGATTTGGCTAAAGGGTATTGAGAGAGCAAAGGAAGGGGGAAGGACAGGAGAGGGGAAGAATTTGAAGCTTCCCTGTTCCTTTATCCTTGAACAGATCCCTTGATCTACCCTTTGAAGTGTCACCCAGGGCCTGACCCAAAGCCCATGGGGCTCTCACTGTGGAAAACACTAAGTGAAGTTCTCCCTTTGTCCACGAGGTGGGGCCCTCCCACCACATTTTGCAAAGGTGAATTTCACATCTATATGCTCTCAAGATAATACCTGTAAGTGTAAACATGACCACAGTTCTTCAGAAACCTCCCCTGCTGCAAACAGTGACACTGCAAAAGATGTGCAGCTAGTTGAATCCCAACACAGGCACTAATAGCACAAGTATTAGCTAATTCAGAGCTCTC